CTGATTAGCACTATACGGGAGAGCCGTACCTGTGCGGCAACGTCACCGGATCTAGGCACTGCCCGCCGACGCACACGTGTCTCTGCACCGGAGGCAATCCGAATCATGGCTACACGAGCTTCGATAATTTTCTCTGGTCGATGCTCACTACGTTTCAACTTATCACGCTCGACTACTGGGAGAACGTTTATAATATGGTTAGTTTTCGACCTAAGCAGGGATCATTGCATGAAATTAAATGTTGTTGCGTTGACGGGGCGTACGTCAGCATGGAGAAGTGGGATTTGTTCTGGCAGCTATAATAGCAGATCCAAACTGGTGTGGGTAATGATGTGAAACAAATCGAATCAAATTGATTGATTTTTTTCTTTTACGAAAATGGGGACAATTACAAAAACGGCCATTTACGTGAAATGTGACGAATTGCATCAATGAAATAATTCAATCAGTTGATGCTAATTTGAATAGAAATATAATAATAAGAAACATACACGTGTATACCTCCTCAACGTACAGGTGCAGAGGGGTCAGACCAGTAATTATTTCCATTGCCGCGGTTGGTGTTGTTCTCATGGCTCCTGTGATGTTCAAACAAGCCAGTCGCTGTATTTGATATAATTTTTGGATCGCCGTTGCTTGTAGAACTTTAGGTCCCCATGCAATGGCTCCATACGTCAACATGGCTCTTATTATTGCATTGTAGATCCAGGTGACCACACGGGGTGAAAGACCCCATTTGCGTCCCACTGTCCTCCGACATTGCTCATAGGCCACGTATGCTCTTTTTGCTCTACTCTGTAGAAGAGAGTTCCATGTTAGCATCCTGTCGAGGATAGTATCAAGGTATTTCACCTCTTCGGAGAAGTTTAGTTTGCTTTTGAAGATTTCGGGAGGTTTTAAGCCCGTTGAACTTCTTTTCCTGGTGAAAAGGACCATCTCAGTCTTCTTGGGGTTGATCGACAGTGAGTGTTCCTTACACCATGTTTCTATCATTAATTCGAGCCCATCCTTCGCTCTATCGTACAGTGTGTTTACAAATTCGCCGGTCTACAAGATAACTATGTCATCTGCGTATGCCATTGTGTAGAATACATTTTTATTAAGGTAATTGATCAGGGTATCCAGAACTATGTTCCAAAGGAGAGGGGTGATAAGACCCCTTTCTGTGGACATCCCCTCATGGCTAGTCCTTTCACTGTGATGTCTTCTACATCAATACTCATTGCTCTACTAGAGATCATCTTGAGTATCCATTCTCCTACTACCAGGGGTACATTCCTGGAGTGTAGTTGTTGGGTAATTGTTGGAAAGGTTGTTTTATCAAACGCTCCCTCGATATCTATGAATATACCCAGGGTGGATTCTTTGTTGTCCAATGATCTCTCGAGTCTGCCAACCACGTGGTGGAGGGCCGAATCAGTAGACCTTCCCGGAGAATATACATGCTGATTTGGATGACATGGGTTGTGAACTAGTATTTAATATCTTATGTACCGCTCACATAGCCTCTCTATAGTTAAAAAAAACGATGTAAGACTAATTGGTCGGAATGCTTTTGGTAGGGTGTAGTCCATCCTACCTGGTTTGGGTATAAATACTACTCATACTTCTCTCCACTTACTGGGAATACACCTCAGAGCTAGAGAGGCTCTGAATATTCCAACCAGGTGCGGCATAAGAGTGTCCAGTCCCCATTGAAGTAGGGCTGGTTAAACCCAGGTTTGTGTTTAATAAACCCTATAAAAAACAAATCAAGCAAAACAGATAGTCAGATGCTACAAATGCAATACGGTTTTATGCAGACGGCTCAAAAACCAAAGAAGGCTCAGGATGTAGAGTGTACTCCAAATCACTAAGCCTGAGTATTAAGTGTGGAATGGAAAGAAATACCAGCAATGTCTACAGAGAAGTGGCTGGTATCTCAATCGCCACAAAAGAAATAACCAAATAATGAACTTCTGGCAAGAACATAACCATCTGCACTGACAGCAGACAAGCC